GCGTCTGCTAATTGAGGCCGCTAATTTTGATGCTGGACTCAGCATCAAAACTGATGCAGCATCAGAAAAGGAGCCGGGAGTCGGCTTCACCAGGTGAAGCCGCCTCAACGGCATATGCGCTCCCCCGGCGCACTGATCGAGGCGGCATGAAAGTCCGCGCCGGGCCTCCGCCTCGCGCGCCGATGCGGCTCCGTTTATGATGCTCCCTCAAACCTCAGCTCTAAATCCCTGGTAACAACTGTCCATGGAGATTAGCAAAGACAATACAAGCACTGATCTGGGGGTTTCTTTATGCACCATAGGTGCAAAGAAATTAACTAAAGCACATTTTTAAACAGTTTTGAGCTCTTTAGTAAAAATTATGTATATATTTCTAAAATGAAGTTATCAGGAAATTAACAACAAAAATGGGATTTTAGTTATCGCTACCCCCTGTCCTTAAATTTTGTCAGTAAGTTGAGTACTTTTAATCCTAAGATACAAGTTTGATTTCTCTTTCAGGGCTTCAAGTAGAATGGAAAATCAAGGCCTTGGTGTGGAAAAACCAGCCGAAGTAAACAGAGGTGATGATGAATACGATGCATACAGGAAAAGAATGATGTTGGCCTACAGATTCCGGCCTAATCCCTTGGTAAGGCTTTTTTAAGTTTAGAAGTATCTACAGTCGAATTCTGCTGAGTGAGAATGCATTAGGGCCGGGCTCCTTTCTCACTTAAATCTGTGATCTGCCCATTATCTGTGATGTAATCTCAAATTTCACGTCGAAACATCAACAAAGTCACTTTTGGTCTATTTTGAACCCATTGAGGGAATCTCCGTGGGTAAAATCACACACAAACTGCATGAAACTAGTACAATAGATTAAATTGTTTTGAACCCATTGAGGGAATCTCCGTGGGTAAAATCACACACAAACTGCATGAAACTAGTACAATAGATTAAATTGTTTTGAACGTAATTAGGCCTCCAACTATCAAGGGTCGGGGAGCTTCAGAATTGCTCACTGTCCAACTAAGCGATACGTCCTTTTTGCTCCGCTGCTGCTGACGGAATGAGCCACTGAGTCAGTCAAGAATCTCTATCTAAAAAATAAAACTTGAGAGGAAATTAGACAACATAAAATTCAGTTGGACTCCTCCTGATTAAATCCATCCAAATTAGACTGCATTTTACAATTTGGAACTACAAATCTAGCTCAGTTTAGGAGCGACATATGAGCCATTATTAGTTTCCTGATGCACATGAATGTTTTCACACATGGGCTAGAAATTGTGGTTCCCAATTGCAAAATGTAGTCCCATTATCTGATGACCCAGTGGACTGTTCCAGGCGCTGGAGACAATCAAGTTTGTAGCTGCATTTAGACCCATGTGTGCTGACAATCTTTTTCAGGGTTGTCACTGTCAGGGAATACTGGGAAAACCAGGAACTGTCGGGAAATGTTAAAAAGTCAGGGAAAAATTGTTAAGTCACCTTTATTTGCTTTCCAGAATGGGCTTGACACTTCGAACAACAAATTTTGCATGGAAACTATTTCCAGTTACGTCTTCTAAATTATTTGGCATATACATAATTGTCAGGGAATTTTGCCAAAATGTTTTAGAAAAATCAAGGAAATGTCAGAGAATTTCATCCCCTAAATTCTGTGTTAATCCTGTCTTTGTTTGAAATTCGTTTTCGTCACTACGCATACCCAAGGCAGCAGTTTTGCACAGAAAAAATGATTTCCCTCTCATTTTGTAGAACTTTCTTTTCGGACCGACCTGAACTTGTGCATTGAAGTTGTTTGGTAAAATGATGGAAATTTTCCCAGGATAAAATCCTAAATAATTTGAACTCTTTAAAAGGTTTGATCATCATATCTTATTAAATTTCATGGTCTCTTTTTTTTTTTTGTCTGTTGCAGAATAATCCGAGGAGACCTTATTATTAAGGTGATGAGTTACTCTAATGTAAAGAGCTCAACTCAAATTTGTATAAAGTATGAAGAATTTTGTTTTGATTTTACAGTTGTTGTTTTAATTTTATGAAAATCGAATTTGTAGAATAAATTTAAGTTTTATGCACAAATTTTAGTTCTAGCTCAAATACTTCACAGAATGATTGAATTATTGTTGTTTTGAAGAATATTTTAAGCATTTTAGAACTAATTTGACAATGACCAGAATCATTGGCTCATACTTTCGAAACTCATACAACAGAGAAAATCAGCTTATTTTTACTTGCACAACACTATGAATAATAAAGTAAAATTTGTCGGCATGGTAGAAGAAAACAGGTATGGACATGGCAGCTGCGGCAAAGCATCACAGGAAAAAAGTCCTGAAGTAGTGATGTGACAGCTAAATCTTCTCTCGCTAACACATTGGCAGATCTCATGTACACAACCTATAGGTTGGACCGTCTTTTACCAACACATTGACAGAGGTCCTGTACACAAGTTTACTTTACAGGCCAGTGACATAACAGTCAGACAAACCAATCAGGCAAGTCGGTTCTATGCCCATAACTCTTTTTCCTCTACAATAAATTGTCGCTCCTCTGACGTAAGAGCGTATCTCCATTCCTATGTGAGCCCTGTTGTTCATGTAACTGAATGCTCTCTAGGGCTCAGGTGAAAATGGAGATACGTTCTTACGTCATAGGAGCAATGGAATTTGAAGCAAATCCAGTAGAAAGGGACAAACCCACAATCATATAAATGAAATCCCTCTCTCAAAGTTGTATTAGTTAAGAAAACAGCACACAATAAGCAGTTCACGGAAGCTCTGCTCTACTGCCAAATGTTACCTTTGCATAGCAAAAAAAACAAAAATCAAATTTTAACTGACTTCTTAAAATCATCTCTTGTTTATGTTGGTGCAAATTAATACGCTGAAGTAGCTCGGTACAATTCGACTAAAAGACGAATGAGGCTGAACACACAAGCCCATGGACTTCTTGGTACCTTAGTCAGATTATGCATTTCTTCAATTAGTCATTTAATTATTTTTGTTTTTTACTCAATCTAATTCATCTTATGAGTTTAAGCAAGTTGCAGAGCATTCTTGTAACAAAATAATAAAAAAGAAAAAAGAAAAAAAAAAAAAAAAAAGGTTAAACAACCTTGATAGGCATTCTCCCAAGAAATTGAAAGTAGAAATTGATGGATATCATTTACCTACCCTTCTCATTTTAAATCAAAATAAATAACGAACCCAGTAAAGAATTTTTACGCATAATCTGTGATTGATTCAACCCTTTTCCCTATCGTTCATGTATACCTCTGCTTGCAACATTGTTAATCGCCCATTAATTCAGGCTTGTAGATCAAATATTTGATCAAATCAGAACAGAGGGAATTTTAGTTAAAAGAGTTAAAGATCTAGCTGTTCATAATTTTAATTGGTCATTCTCATAAGACCTAAGCGCCAAAAAATCGAAAATTGAGTTTTTAGCAGCTCACTGTCTATTCAGGCTGAGGTTGGTGAAGAAAATATGAAGAAATAATTCCATTCTGTCTTGAAAAGACCCAAGCGCCAATTTTTCTTCTTATTTCTGTTAAAATTGTGGGAAAATTTCTAAACAACCACAATTGGATTTTAAAGCACAATCTTCTTACACTCTCATTTTTTTGATCTTTAAGATCTAGAATAAGTTGATCTAAACAATTTTTACTGTTTTTCTTGAATACTTAGTTTTGGCGCTCAAGGCTTTTTGAGAGTGACTGATTAAGTAACTAGTTTTGCAAGGGTGGAATTACATGCATGATTTAAACGTATCTTGAGTGGACTTCACCCATCCGAAATTGTGGATTCATTATGATGAACCCCTAAAAATTCTAAGGAATACTTGGAAATGTTTTTCAAAACTTCGATTTTTTGTTGCTCTGAACTGTACAAAAAAATTCCACTAGAGGAGCAGTTTAGTTTGGTCACCATGTTCCTTCTTCTGTGACTCCCTCTCATGGGATAGTTATGCGTATGAGTATGATGAGTATGTACCGGAAAAAAAACCTTCAAAAAATTAGAAAATACCCAATAGGAAATTCGCAACCTTACGTCACGCAGTCTCGTAGTTTCACCATCAATATTGGCGTCATCAAGTGCACGGCACAAAATTTTCCAAGAGAACGGAATATATTTGCCTCCAATTCATAAGATAGGTTAAAGTGGATCCGCAGGAGCAGCATTAGTTAAATCTTTCGTGATCAACAAGACGCACATAGAATCAGCGTTCTCCATTACAGTCTTAACAGTCACTCCTATAGCTCTGTAACCACTTATTTGGTATGCATTCAAGTCACACAAAGTTCATAATTCCAATTTTTTTTTCCTCCTAGATTTTTTTGTTAAAATTCACTTTTGAGTTCTGCTTCAGTAGGTAACGTTTTTCAAACGCCACTAACGAAAGGTCTCAGTTGATGCCATTAGATTTAACTTCAATTTGTAAGGTAGGCAATAGGGCAATGAGATAGGCATAGCGGTTCCTCTGAAACCGCTGCCTTGCATTCCATGTCATACGATCTACGAATCTCAACTATTTATCAGCGCGGTGACGGTTTGCTTCTATCTCATCCCTATGTCTCACAATGTATCTACGCCATCTGAAAAGGGTCAATTGATTGATGATTTATCCGTCACAATTTTGTGTTGAATTTTTATCAAGTAACACCTTGTCGGAGATAGACTATATTTTAAACCCGTCTACGGCATCTTGTTTCCACCGAAACCATTCACTGCACAAGTGTTGCATTATCTCGTAAGACCAGTCTTTCCATTAATACTGTTCTTCAAACTGTACACGCCCCGACAAATCCCGATATAGAAACTTCGCAGTTTTGAAAACGCCTTCAATTGTGGCGAGATACCTCACGCATTCCGGAGAGTACGAATAGTTGTATCCTTGCGCCTTACCAACGCGACGGAAGATTCAAATTGAAGTAGCTTCCACGACGGCCCTTTCGATTTTCCTTTAACATGTTTGGAGTTTTAAGAGCATAGTTGAAGTGTGTTTCAGCTGGAATTGTATGTAGATAACCAATGGGTGAATGTCTCAAGAGAATTAAAAATACACACTCGTTAAAAAATAAAAAATAGGAACCCAAATCAACTGTAAAATACAAAAAAGCACTGTAAAAAATAAAATAAAAAGCTAAAATATAACGAAAATTTATTCAGGATCCGGGCCATTATGCGCAGATTACACGCTCATGCACAGCTGGAACAAAGGCTATGAATTAAAAATTGAAACAAGGAGATGGGCGCAGAACTGTGGCATTAGCTCGTAAGATCAGTCATTCCATTGGACCGCGTTTAGCAGAAAGGGACCATGCCACATCAGCTATTGCCAAATTTAACTGAGCAATTTAATTTTTTCAATGAAAACGGTTGTGCGAATTTTTGTGCACATTTCCGTGAATTTTTTGTGTTGTACGAAGCAAAGTTCCTTAAAAATGTTAAAGGAATCCGCACAAACGTTCTCGTGTAAAATATTAAATTGTCCAGTTAAATTTGACAACAGCTGATGTGGCTTGGTTCCTTTCTACTTAACGCGATCCCATTGATCCTGCGCTCCGAACTTCATGCGACTCGACAATCCCGATACCGAAACTAGGCAGTTTTGAAAACGCCTTCAATTGCGGCGTGATACTCCACGCATTCCGGAGAGAACGAATAGTTGTATCCTCGCGCCTTACCAACGCGAAGGAGATTTGAAGTAGCTTCCACGACGGCCTTGTTGGTTTTCCTTTGACATTTTTTCAGTATTGTTACATTTATTCTGCTTTTTAGGAGCTTATACGTATCGGTCGCTTTCAAGAAGCTAAAACAAGAGAGCACAGTAAATAAGGCAAATACAAATCTTAAATAGATCGAAAACACATCAAGATCGTTTCGCGAAAATTACACGGGTATTACCGCGAAAAAGGCCTAATTTCATTTCAGAAAACTTGAACATTAAAAGTTGAGCAAAGTGGCCCAAGTTTTGTTTTTTTGTCACTTCATATTGTGTATTTTCAAAATAGCATAACATTCCCAAACTTTTTTACACCTTAGACTTAAATTCTTCAAGTTTCATGTGACAAAATTTTCGTTGAGAATAAGCGTATGAATGTAACTTCAAAACAAGAAGATTGCCTTCAGTCTGTGAGCTAGGCAAAATTGGGTCCTCGGGAGTTGAAAAAGTTGTATCTCTCAACGTTCTCCTATGTATTACGAGCTCTCGACGATGAAGAATCGGCCCTGGCGACGGCCCCTCATAAATCCTCGTGTTTCCTCCTAACTTATCGCGAGCTGGACGGAAATCATTGTTTCGATTTCCTCTTCAGTTTTATCTTGAATATTTCTCTTTGTAGTATCCCATTATCAGTAAATAATAGAGGCTACTTACGGAACTAACGAAAAGTGTAAGTGAATAATTTTTTTCTGAGTTCTCTTCAGCTCGACCTACCTCCTTCCTTCTCCTTGGTCGCTTGAATTTAATGATGCATGGAGCTTAAAGTTTTTTTTTTTTTTTTTTTTTTTTTTTTAACTTAGCTTTTTACTCACCCACGCATTAATTTAAATTTAAAACGTAGCCATATCAGGCTAATGCAAAAATATTACGAGCAGGACCGGATTTAGGGGGTGGCGGTGGCCACATGGGCCGCGGCCCATGGCGGCAAATTTACGAGGCGGCAATTGTTGCAATTTTTTCAAATGTAGGGATCAACAAAAAAAAATCGGATTCAGGAAAAAAAATTACAAACGAGAAAAGGCGACAAAATCTCTCATTTCCTGAGAGTTAAAGTATAGTAATTTCTAATTTGTTCGTCTTGCGGTGATACAAGACAGTGCCTTTCATTTTTCTACTTGAGAGAGAAGACCAAACACGCAATTTGGCCTGGAGCGGAACGGTGCAAAAGCAATGATGACGAGGACTTGAGATGAAAAGGAGAAGCCCTCTGCGCGCCAGTCAGCATGATTAGCGCCTGCAAGACTCAATGAATACTTCACGCATTGCGTCAAACGTAGTGCGGTCAGCAGCGGTTGCGTGAAACTCATAGTGCCTACAAGACTGCATGAATACTGCACGCATTGCGTCAAAAACAGTGCGGTCAGTAGCGGTCGGTGTGAAACGCATAGCGCCCACAAGACTGTAGGGATCATACTTCAAGCATTGCGCCTAAAACAGAGCGGTTGGCGCAGTGGCGGAAATTAAAATTATGAAACCACATTCATGTTTATTCTTTCATAATTTTTTCGTTCATTTCTTATAAACGAAAGGCCTTGTCCACACAGAGATAGGTTTACGGAACTTAACTTTTGCGCAAAGTTCCGGGAACTTTTGCTAGTGTTAACAGGGCTTTCACAAAAAATGTGCTCAACACGAGTAAACGTGTCTTATGCACCCTAGAGTCCCTTTATACTGAGAGTCAAGACAATTTGAATCCATTTCTGATTGGTTCCCGTATTTTAGGCCTCCACGGTGTCACAAACGGGAATAAAGATTACATTTTCACCAATTGCAAAGATTATAATCTGGAATGGACCAGGGAATTACGGGTTCGGCAAGGAACAAACGGAATGAGAGGAGGAACGGAGAAAGGCATTTGAGAATGGGACGATCAAAGATTACGAAAAACGTTCAATTTCTGTAATCTTTATTCCCGTTTGTGACATCCATGAGCCGAATTGTCTTGACTCTCAGTATAAAGGGACTCTAATGCACCCCTCCTCCTCCGGCACGTTCACTTGACATTCTTGGAGGGGTCAGGTGCTCCGACAAGAATCGATGATTTAACATAAGTTTAAATGGAGGAAATCCGGTGTTGCCAAATTGCTGGATCCGCCTCTGCGAGCATTCTGCCGTGCTAGGGAAACACGCCGTATTAATATTCGAGAGTTGCCAAATTTCCTTCGATGAAACGTTCATTTTTAAAGAAAGTAATGAATACTTTTCCTTGGGTTTTTCCGGACCTTTAGGTGAAATGCCGAAAAAAATTATCCGAAAAATATTCATAAGTTTACTGGGAAATTCATGTTTTATAAAATGAAATTTGACAACGCCTAAAGGTTCAGACGGCGTTTTGCCTTAGAACAGCAGCATGTTTACGCATTTTTTCACGTGAAAGCAATGCTGGGGTTTCAAAGCACACTCTTCCTCAAAACTGCCGCAATGTATGTTCTTTCTGCGAAACATTTTCCGCCGAGCGAGATTGAACCCCGGGCGAGGCCGAGGTCCATGACCTTGGTGGTTTTTTTTATTGCCTTAATTTTATTCTGGCTCGAACATCTCGTTTTCGTTGTCAGCGCGACTCGTTCTCGTCTCATCGCCGCCGCGTGGAAAGCCATCGCAATGTTCGGCGTTATTTTAAACGAGGCATTGAGCCGAGAGCAAGGGCATGGACACGCGGACATTTTGAGGCAGCACAAAGAGACAGAGAACTTACGCTCCTGCCATGCTTACTGCTGCCTTGTCCGCTTCGAATCAAATCGATAACTTCACGAAGGCGTCATTGTAAACAAACATTATTATATCTTAAAGATGGGAAGGAAGGGGGAGGGGGGCAGGGTGTCCAGCATCAGGAATTTCTCGATTCTATCAGGATTTGAGAAAAAATCGGCCGTCATATAGGATTTGTTTATCGAGCTAGTTTTGTGAAGTTACATTCGCCGCCTAGGTAATTTTTCTCCGCAAAAAATCAGGATTTCGAAAACTTAGGCAATCAGGATTTAGCGGTCAAATATAAGGAAACATCAGGATTTCCTAAATTGAAAAAACTAGACACCCTGGGGGGGGGGGGGTGTTGGAAAAAGGCAAAACTTTTTCGGGGAGTTAGAGGGGTAATGGGGATACAAATTCTTAAAATCTCAATTGATACCCTCAAGTTGATCGAATGAAACCAAAATTGCCCTGGCGAAGATCAAATTAAAAATGAAAGGGGAGGGGGGAGGGATTCTTGCTACGCGAATAGCACGGTTGGATTTGCCAATAGACCTAGGGACGAAACATTTTAAACGGAGCAACATTATTGAGGATTCTGAATCGTTTTTACACTTTATCGACGAGTCTTTCGTCACTTTTCAAATTTAGCTCTTCTCGGGCGTGGAACTGCTCGCAACAGTGGCGTGGCGTGAGTTGCGATATATCGAATCTTATGCCATTTAAACCTATGGTTAAGAATCGATTATTAAGGTGCTCGCTGCGAACACCCTGTTTATCGATCCTTTTCCATAAGTTTAAATAGTCGATCAATCGATAAATCGCAAAGCACGCTACGCCGTGCCACTGGCTCGCAATTGAGCACCTTTAAATTTTTTGAACTCCTGTTTTTTCTCTGGTGAATGCGATTTATTTCCCCGTTATCTAACCCCCCCCCCCTAATCCCCCCTAACCCCATCTGTTCGAGGAGGGAGTTAGTCCCAGAAAACTCCTTCCTTATTACGATAGCATCTACTTTTATGGGTCCTGAACTAAGTCCAGCCTGTAAGCCATATGGTAAAGGGGCACTGAAAATGTACCTAAATCCGGTCCTGACGATTTTATTCTTTTAATTCGTAAAAATCAACAAGAATCCTCGTCCGGGGAACCTGCTTTTTAACCGGATGTTAAGATTCTTAGCTCCAAAATTTTCCACCAACCAGGGGCGTAGCTAGGAAATTTCTCTGGGGGGGGGGCTATGGGACCACCTCTCGTGGTGAAGAGAGCGGGGGGGGTGAGGAATGGAGGATCCCGTTTTTCAGGGGGGCCACGAGATTTTTGGGGGGCCAGGCCCCCCCAGGACTCCCCTAGCTACGCCCATTCGCCACCAACACAAAAAATACAATCTGCCTACGAGACCTGAATCCTCCAAAAATATCGTTTAAAATTGTGCTTGGAAAAGACATGAATTTTACCTAACCAGAGGTGTTAGAACCGGCCTCAGCCCTCCTCAGATGACAGCTCTTTGGCTTTTTTTTCAGAGGAAAAATACACTCTGTGCTGTTCGTTTCGGACGTACTGGTGTGGTTTCATTTTGTCATGATGACGTTATTATACCGCAGCCTCGTAAAGCTATACCATGACGTCATCGATTGCACAAATTGCAACATCTACCTCCATACCCCGCCGCGCTTCTAGAATATGCAGCCAAGAACAAACAATTTTGCAAATTGAATGAATGAGAACTAGAAAGACTTGGTCGCATTACAATGTTGCAGAGTTTCATTTGAAAATTCATGAATTTACTCGAGAAAGGTTGTGGTTTAACGAAAATTCTATCCTGACCTACAGAGTCACGTGACTGAAGATCTGGTAATAATAATGGATATAAGACCTAGACAAAGGCCATACTGGCGGTTTGCCTGTTCCCTCATTTACCGTACCCCCTTCCCCTCTCTCCAAACAAAGTAGGTAGGCACCTACCTAATAATTTTAGCTTATAAGTATACTTCTAGTTTTTTCCTTCTTTCTTTTACAAATTTTGGTTCACACAACTTCATGTTGAGGCTGGTTAATTTAGATCATCAAAGGTCACCAGCAAAGGCTAGTTAAGTTGAAGCCACAGCGACTAGTGGGCGGAGGGGGGCGGGGTGTCCGAGTAGTTCACGGTCCAAAGCATTTAAATAGGCACAAAGTAGGTACTTGGCACGTTCCAGAAAATTTGGAACCCTCATTCAATGCAAATGTGAAAGCTCTCTTCAATAACTGATAGGTAATCTCTATGCTTGGACTCTTGCAAGACCCTTTACTTAAGCCATTTATCTAACGATAAGTCGCTGCGCAAATTTCTTGTCAGACTGTCACTTTATTAATGCACTCTGTTCATAAATCATAAGTATTGTCAAACAATATTTTCGCCGACGGTGCAAGTCTTTTGTTTGATTATGCTCAAACCAGCGTTGCCATGTAGCCTCCGATTTTTCCGAAGAAGAGTCTGTTCTACTGTTTCTTTGTTTAATTTTGTACAAATATAGACGAAGAGGCAACAAAGAAACGTATCGCTATTTCCAAATGTCTGCTCCTATTTTATTATTTTTAGTAGCGCGTTGTTTTTATTTTGTGCGTGAGCATCTTCAAAAAATTTTCGGCGAAGGATTGAAGCAAACCATAAAATAATATCAGCCCCCTCCCTCCTATCCGCTTCACTTCATGCGGCAACTTAGCGTCGATTTGTTTAGTATGTACCTCCACCTTAAAGAAGAAGACGTGGAAGTAACTGAGGTAATAAGGATTTGATGGTATTAGTTCGGTCCATTTGACATCCTTGGTATAATGTATTAGTGCACTCAATGATCACGTGATAAGACGATAAGAGTAGGTACACACACATAATAAGTATACGTGGCGTCGAAGTGCGCAATTCATTATCTATTTCTAGAATTTTTAGAGGGAAGGGGAGGGGAGAGAATTGATGAGGAGGCCAAGCGTGAAGTTCAAGGAGGGCCAACTGTGACAAATGATTTCACTTAAATTTCATATCAGCGCATTCATTGGTAAAGCGGTTTGCAAGGGTGAGGACGTAGTCTCTTCTTTGTTTCATAAGTTGGTACCTCGTCATGTGGTTCTACGTCACACGAGCAACAGCCAATCAAAATTGAATACAGTGAGTCAGCGTCAGCTGTTCCCTCGTATTAATTCACTGCTTTTCCTCATTGGTCGTCATTTTACGTTTTCACATACTCACATTCGATCAAGTACTGAAAGTGGTTGAAGGTGTTTCGTCCTAAGTTCTTTACTGATTTTAGTAGAAAAAACCTTTGTAGTCTCATTTAAATTTATCAAGTGTGAATATTTCGCCCTCTATCAAGTTTAAAATCGGTAAGAAATACTCTTTCTCTCTTTCCATTTTCACCTTACGCAGTTACAAATGGTCTCCTCTGAAAATCGTGACGAAGCAATCGCCATCTTGTCATTCTTGCCCGATGTTTTGCTATCTATCTTGAATTTTTGAAGTACTTTTAAGCCTTTTCGAAAGGAGTTACTTTTGATATAAGCTGTCGTAAATTTGATGAAAGTTTTAGCTACTTGGGCCCTTTTTTTACAGAACTGGGGCTAATGAGGCACTCCCTTGATTTCCTTTGTCTGTGCCAGCCTGACTACTTGTATCATTAGGATTCCGAGTTTCCTGATTTCTCGCTCATTTCAGCATTCACATCGCATTCAACTGTTAAGGAGCGTCCTTTTTAATGTCTCGTATCAGTTGATCGTAGAATTCTTTTCCTACGAGGTCAGCTAGTTTTCTTAGGCTCTGACCTCATTCCCAGTCTTTGTCTTATGATTGCATCAGCCACTGCTGGGTACATCACCATTTCTCCATTCTCTCAGTCAATTATTCATCTTTCTAAAGCGTTTTCGCTGAATTTTTGTGTTCTACATTACTTTCTCTTGGATTTTGAAGCATTGAAAACATTCTGTTGATCTGGTAAGTTCTGAACTCCGATAGGTCTCCCCTCACTGGAAGCAATTTTAGGCCTCATTTTTTTCAAGTCTACCCAGTTGAATGCATGTAGAGCTAGAAAATTATTCAGTGAATTTGATTTACATTTGTGATTTTCTCGTGCCTCTCAGTAGTCAGTTCTATCTCAATGTGTTGATGAGAATAGGAGATATGGTGTCGGCCTTCGCCATTTTCAACTTTCCTCAAACAAGCTGCAGCCAATGCTATATGTATGTGATGAAAAGTTCAGCTCAAGTGCAGTGTGACGCCACATCTGTGACGTTGCAGTTTACTGTAGACTCATAGAATTTCCCACCCTAAATTTCCAACGCAGTCTTATCTATGCATTGTAATAGCATAGCTTTGTTCTGTAGGTGATTAATTCCAGGTCCTGTGTGTGGTCGAACTGGCTTGCGTTGTATCGCATCAACTAGCTCAAAAATCTTGCCTGGTTCTGATTTTTTAGCCCTTGTTTATGAGCTTCAAGAATCATTTTCAACAAAAGAAATTGGAGTTTTGAGAAATATCACCAGGATCTGGCTGAGGAAGAAAACAAAGGAATTTGATATTGAGGTCGACCCATCGTATCTAATGTAATGACCTTTTCATAGCTAAATCCTTTCTCCATTTCTCCAGATTATGCATTATTTAGTTGAAAATGATACTTCGGACCCATGCGCAGAGGTTATTGCCCTATTTTTTACTTAGGAGTCAAAATCTGCCAAGACTTTTGGCTTGTTGGTGTAGCATATTGCATGCCAGCTCAATGATGCCAAGAACCTACGAAAAATCACTGATAGTTGGACTGCATGTACACTTCAACTTCAGTTCAGTTAAAATCTGAAGACATTTGTGTGCTGATTCAACATTGTTCAGCTATGCTTAGATCAGATTTCAAAAATCCCATAGTCTCAAGTGGCAGCAATACTTACAGTAATATCCATCATTGACGCATTCATTGTAATTGTGGTTGTAGCTTGAAGTTTTTTTCTACTTTGCCTTCAGAAGTCAGGGTTGACTATTGTTCTGTACTTCTAGGCCTAATTGAAAAATCATTTGTTCTCTTCATTTTCCTCATGTCTATTTGCTGATATTATTTGAAGAAAGCACATCAAATTAGGTTTGGTTTTACTTTGGTTTGTTACCAGTGGTTCATTGGAGAGATGCATGAAGAAAAGAAAATCATCCTGCATCCAGCTAACACAGAAAACCCTCCTGAATGTCCTCATGGACCAACCCTATTGTTCTCTCGAGGAGTTGAAGCCCGAAGATTTTATGCTTGTTCAGCCTACAGAGATAGGAAATATTGTGACTTTTTCCTTTGGGAAGATGACAAAATAACAGAAGGGAAAAAGTTAGCGTGGTCAATTGCTAGAGATAAACTTCGACCGAATCTAAAATATAACAAGTTGAACACTGTTTTAGGTGAAGTTAAGAAAGCTTCACCGAGCAGGAGAGGGTATTGCAATACTTGTTGCTGCTTGTTTGTGTCTGAAGGTGTTAATTCTGCCCACAAAAGTCATGATGTGATCACTAACATATCAGACGATTCACTGTCTCATCCTTCAAAACTCATTAGATTAAAAGAAAGTGCTAAGAAAGAGTCTCAGTTCTTGTTCAGTCCCTCTACAGTTGGTTGCTTTGTATCAGGCTTAACATCTCTCGATGTAGAAAAATTAATCTGCATTGGAACGCCATCATTGAAAGAAAATTGCCAGCTTCCCAGCTTGCTTTTAGACATCGACCACCGTTATGCTTCCTTCTATGACAGCACTGAATTCTTATGGTTTAACATGAGCAATTTTCATTTCTTTTCTGACAATGGCTTAGATAGTTTGAAAAAATTTGTTGCCACCTCAAAATGTGCGATTGTCGTAGACCCACCATTTGGTGCTCTTTTGGAGCCGATCAGTACATCTCTGTCAAAAATCATCTCTGAATGTAATTTGTCAAAGCCTCCAGTATTGTTGGTATTGCCTTATTTCATGGAAAAACAAGTATCGAATTATTTTCCTGATTTGATTATGCTTGACTATGAAGTCAACTACATAAATCACAATAAATTCAATGCTGGTGGTAGAAAGCAAGGATCCCCCGTTAGAATTTTCACCAATGTCAAAAAGTTTCCATTACCCAAGTCGGATGGGTATCATTTGTGTGAACTGTGCTGTAAATGGGTCAGTGACAAAAACAGACATTGCTCCAAGTGTAATGATTGCACATCCAAAAATGGCAGCACTTATAATCACTGCGACAGTTGTCAGAAATGTGTCAAACCATCATGGAATCATTGCAAAATTTGTCAGAAATGTACATTAGCACAACATGATTGTTCCTCTGAAGGGACTCCATTTAAACGAAAGAAAATTCCCAAAGGTGAAACAAAGCGCAAACATCAAATAGACATCACGACCAGCAAAAAAAGTAAATACATAAACTTTTTCATTATTTTTTTTTCTTCACTCTGTTCTCTGTTTTTGAGATGTGCATTGTTAATTCGGCAACATCTCAATGACAACTTTATGGTTTGTGAAGGCTCATTCTATCATCTTCATTTACAGCCCAATGGGTCTGCTTCTACCCATTAGGCAAGCTATTTTAAAATACTCCTTAGAGTTCAACTATACTTCTGAGTCAAGCCTCTTTTTCGGCAAGTTGAGAATATTGTTTCTCTAATCTTTAAAATACCATCTACAACATTTAGTAGTAAAATTCAAAAGACGAACGTAATTTTTAATGGAGATTCCAGCTGTACCTTAGGTTGTATTCAGTGCCAGCTTTGCAGATAGAACAAGTTCATTAACTGCATGAAATTTTTCTCCATCAGCTTTAAACAAGCTACTTACTTTCCTTTTTGTTGTCCCAATGTCATTCCATACTCTCTTCAACTTGGGATTTTTCTCTGTTTCAGGAAAAAAATGCAGATCTTCGTCAAGACACTAACCGGAAAGACTATCACCTTGGAGGTAGAAGCCTCTGACACCATCGAGAATGTCAAGGCCAAGATCCAAGACAAGGAAGGTATCCCTCCAGACCAGCAACGTCTCATCTTCGCTGGTAAGCAATTAGAAGATGGCCGCACTCTATCAGACTACAACATCCAGAAGGAATCTACTCTTCATTTAGTTCTCCGTCTCCGTGGTGGTATGCAAATTTTTGTCAAGACCCTCACTGGAAAGACCATCACTTTGGAAGTTGAGGCTTCCGACACCATCGAAAATGTCAAGGCCAAGATCCAAGACAAGGAAGGTATCCCTCCAGACCAGCAACGTCTCATCTTCGCCGGTAAACAATTAGAAGATGGCCGCACCTTATCCGACTACAACATTCAAAAAGAATCAACTCTTCATTTAGTTCTCAGACTGCGTGGTGGTATGCAAATTTTTGTCAAGACCCTCACAGGGAAAACCATCACCTTGGAAGTTGAGGCCTCCGATACCATTGAAAATGTTAAGGCTAAGATTCAAGACAAGGAAGGTATCCCTCCAGACCAGCAACGTCTCATCTTCGCTGGTAAACAATTAGAAGATGGCCGCACCTTATCAGACTACAACATTCAAAAAGAATCAACTCTTCATTTAGTTCTCAGACTGCGTGGTGGTATGCAAATTTTCGTCAAGACCCTCACAGGAAAGACCATCACCTTGGAGGTAGAAGCCTCTGACACCATCGAGAATGTCAAGGCCAAGATCCAAGACAAGGAAGGTATCCCTCCAGACCAGCAACGTCTCATCTTCGCCGGTAAACAATTAGAAGATGGCCGCACCTTATCCGACTACAACATTCAAAAAGAATCAACTCTTCATTTAGTTCTCAGACTGCGTGGTGGTATGCAAATTTTTGTCAAGACCCTCACTGGAAAGACCATCACCTTGGAAGTTGAGGCCTCCGATACCATTGAAAATGTTAAGGCTAAGATTCAAGACAAGGAAGGTATCCCTCCAGACCAGCAACGTCTCATCTTCGCTGGTAAACAATTAGAAGATGGCCGCACCTTATCAGACTACAACATTCAAAAAGAATCAACTCTCCATTTAGTTCTCCGTCTCCGTGGTGGTATGCAAATTTTTGTCAAGACCCTCACAGGAAAGACCATCACCTTGGAAGTCGAGGCCTCCGATACCATCGAGAATGTCAAGGCCAAGATCCAAGACAAGGAAGGTATCCCTCCGGACCAGCAACGTCTCATCTTCGCTGGTAAACAACTGGAAGATGGCCGTACCCTTTCTGATTATAACATCCAGAAGGAATCTACTCTCCATTTAGTTCTCCGTCTTCGTGGTGGTATGCAAATTTTCGTCAAGACTCTCACAGGAAAAACCATTACCTTGGAAGTTGAGGCTTCTGACACCATCGAGAATGTTAAGGCCAAGATCCAAGACAAGGAAGGTATCCCTCCAGACCAGCAACGTCTCATCTTCGCTGGTAAACAACTGGAAGATGGCCGTACTCTTTCTGATTACAACATCCAGAAGGAATCTACTCTCCATTTAGTTCTCCGTCTCCGTGGTGGTATGCAAATTTTCGTCAAGACTCTCACAGGAAAAACCATCACCTTGGAAGTTGAGGCTTCTGACACCATCGAGAATGTTAAGGCCAAGATCCAAGACAAGGAAGGTATCCCTCCAGACCAGCAACGTCTCATCTTCGCTGGTAAACAACTGGAAGATGGCCGTACTCTTTCTGATTACAACATCCAGAAGGAATCTACTCTCCATTTAGTTCTCCGTCTCCGTGGTGGTATGCAAATTTTCGTCAAGACTCTCACAGGAAAAACCATCACCTTGGAAGTAGAGGCCTCTGATACTATCGAGAATGTTAAGGCCAAGATCCAAGACAAGGAAGGTATCCCTCCGGACCAGCAACGTCTCATCTTCGCTGGTAAGCAATTAGAAGATGGCCGCACTCTATCAGACTACAACATCCAGAAGGAATCTACTCTCCATTTAGTTCTCAGACTGCGTGGTGGTATGCAAATTTTCGTCAAGACCCTCACAGGAAAGACTATCACCTTGGAAGTTGAGGCTTCCGACACCATCGAAAATGTTAAGGCCAAGATCCAAGACAAGGAAGGTATCCCTCCAGACCAGCAGCGTCTCATCTTCGCTGGTAAGCAATTAGAAGATGGCCGCACTCTATCAGACTACAACATCCAGAAGGAATCTACTCTCCATTTAGTTCTCCGTCTTCGTGGTGGTATGCAAATTTTCGTCAAGACCCTTACTGGAAAGACCATCACCTTGGAAGTTGAGGCCTCCGATACCATTGAGAATGTCAAGGCCAAGATCCAAGACAAGGAAGGTATCCCTCCGGACCAGCAACGTCTCATCTTCGCTGGTAAACAATTGGAAGATGGCCGCACCTTATCAGATTACAACATTCAAAAAGAATCAACTCTTCATTTAGTTCTCAGACTGCGTGGTGGTATGCAAATTTTCGTCAAGACCCTCACAGGAAAGACTATCACCTTGGAGGTAGAAGCTTCTGACACCATCGAGAATGTCAAGGCCAAGATCCAAGACAAGGAAGGTATCCCTCCAGACCAGCAACGTCTCATCTTCGCTGGTAAACAATTGGAAGATGGCCGCACCCTATCCGACTACAACATTCAAAAAGAATCCACTCTCCACTTAGTTTTGCGACTTCGTGGTGGCTTGTAATCCTACTTGTTTCATTCCAAAAAAAAGCTCTTTTCTTTTCTTAAAATTTTTATTCCAGTAGCATTTAAGCCATCTGATATTTTGAGTGAGGCAACTCACTTTTTCAACTTTCAGTTGCCATTTTGTCTGTCACGAGTACCTGAGTAGCTATTTGTTGAGTTATTGAAATGACAGAATGATTGAGTTGTGATCGCTTGTATACTAAAAAAAATCTCATTTAAATGTCTGACCATGGAGCATTAATAATTCTCTAGTGTATTTTAGTATAGGTATGTAATTTGTGACACTCAAATTTTACCTGTAATTTAAACCGTTTTTATTTCAATGTTTTTTTTACCAATTTCATTCAAGAAATTCATTTGAATTCTAGAAAAGCTGAATAAAAGTCAAAAGTGAATCCTAAACGCACCTCTTCAGTTTGTTCCCTCCAAGATTTTAAAGAAAAATATTTTTATTCTTAATGAAGGGGTATGTAGGATAAGGTGCATAAATGCAGTTTTTGAAGAAATTGAGATAGTGATGGCAACCATAACTAATACCAAGAATATTCTGTTTAAAACTAACTACTATAATCTAACTCATAATAAGCATCCAAAATTAAATCTGAACTTTCTATCCAGCCATCGAAGTCCATGTAATTTTGAAACTTGTTACACATATATCTTGGAATCGCCAAAACTGCACCTATGCGCCTTGTTTCCCAAGCCCCTACAATCCAGATTTTCTTCAAAGCTAATAGCACCAGAATTTAGTAAAAAATAAACTGAAGCCATCTGGAATTTATAATGTTTTCCGGGATATCACAGATGAAGGAGTAGGAAGCCTTAACACATTAAGGCTCGGAGAAATCCATTTTATCTAGATTAATTTGATCGAAGTGCCTGAGACATAAAAGTTTTAGCTCAAGTTGATGTAATTAGGTCTTGTGTTCAAATTGTGTTCATTTCTTCGTTGCGAGATACTGATTATTTCCTCACCATTAGTTTTCATTTAAAATTCAATTGCAATTCCTCATGACTAATGTTTTTTAAACTCCTTCATCTGTAATAACCCCTCATATCTTCAATACCTAATTATTTCTTTATTTCTGAAATCACCGCCCATCTCATACTTCGAATAGGTAGATGCCCCCAGAATAATCTTGTTTAATACTGAATAGTAATCCACCTTCTAAGTAACAGTTGTACTAGAACATCAGTGAGAATACGCCATGAAATGGCACATCCAGCCTTTTTTGTATTTTTTGTTGATACCCACTCATTCTCAAATGAAAAAAATACTGTCCAAATTTTCAAATTTTTCTGAAGACAGTAATTTCGTACTTAACACAGCATTGCAATGGAGTTAGCTTGATTAGATTAATTCCGCAGAAAGACTAAAGAGTTCATGATGAAACTCGCAATCAACTTGTTCTGCCAGGAAATTGGCAATCAGAACGTTGACCTCTCCTATCATCTAGGTATCTACTTTTAATTTTTCTCAATATACCTACTGGAAACATTGAAATAACTCTGATGAGACAGTGATCTAAACGCAAAAAAATTGACCTGCATGTATCTTCCTTTAAAGTGAACATTTTTAACATATTAACTGAATAGATGAACGAAATTGGAACTTTTGAAAAAGTTGAGATCGAAACTTGAAAGTATGTACTTAAAAGCTCTTTAAAGGACCCCTTTGAACTTTTATTTGCACCCCTCAAAATTTTAAGGGGACCACCCCAGAAAAGGCGAGAAGGTGATGGGGCACTATTGGATCACTCAGTACATATTCCTATTTAATCATTAACTAAGTTATATATTAAAGAAAATGGAATTTTTCTGGATATACCTAACGAGGAAAAACACTAAAAATATGGCCCGAAACTGTATGTCACAAAGGTGGAGAAATGGTGCCGGGTCCACACCATTTCGCGGGAAATCAAAGCAGAGAAATTCCAAAAATTTAAATTAGAGTCAAATAATGTCAACTCTAATGAGCATACCTACCAGTACAAAACTGAGGGGAGAGAGAGGGGATGTTAGACTGGGTTCCCTTGTCAGATATTGTTGTCAGGTCTGTGACCCTCCAATATCAATCCCTTTAATTTTAAAAAATAAAGTAAATTAAGCGGGGAAAAAAAATTGTCATTGACAAGACGTTTGAGAACATCAAGTTTTCACTACCCTCAGCTGAATTTCGATAGGTATGAAGTCACAAGAACAAGCCACCCCAACAACTTTGTTTAGAGTGTGTCATTTGTGTTGCTTGTGATCAAATTGAAGGCGTTTCTTGCCCATTGCAACCGTCTGAATAGATTTATTTTTCTCTTCGTCGTTAACCTCTGGTTTGCAATTAACGAAGACATCTGTAACGGCTTCAAAAATTATGGCACCTTCATCACGGAGACACCCAATTCAGGACTTTTTTCCAAAAATCTTTCTTTCAGCATTCTGTGCACATGGCTAAACCAATTACCTTAGTGAGTCGCTTGTCCATCGTAATAATGAATGATGGTTCGCTGATCATTTTTGATCTTACATGAGCACTCACTATTCCGGAGTTCCGAACGCATTCCTTTTGCAGCTGATTTATAATGGAGAACCATTTTCGTTGTCTTTAAAACCTTACCTTGTGACCACAGCAGAATATTGGGTTTCAAGCATGGTATGCTTATTGCATGCAGTCTAGTTGAAGGCGTTTCCAATTATGAATGCCTCAGTTGAAATGGACGTAATGCATGATAAGACGTACAAATCTACAGAGGACTTCTAAATTTTCGCGAGAGAACTTAAAATTCAGCCACGTTATAAAAAGACAAACTCATTAGGAGGTGAAACATTTAAAATTACAGGATCAAGAAGGCTCTCTCTTCTTTTGTCTCTTCTTTTAAGGAGATCAGACACAAAATGGCTCTACTGGAACCGTTGGAATGTTAAGCAAGCCTTCATTGATCTTGATTGGTTTCCATATTGAAAATCTCAGCTATAATTCGCATCAAGTTACCGAGAAAACTCACAAAAAACCCAAGAATTAAAAGAAATTGCTATGGGGGGGGCATACATTTTCAAACGAGCATTTGCCTTATTGCAATATAATTCTGAATTTGACATCTTTAATTGGACCGCGTTAAACAGAAAGGAACCAAGCCACATGAGCTATTGCCAAATTTGATCGGGCAATTTAATTTTTTACATGAAAACGGTCGTGCGGAATTTTGTGCAAATTTCAGTGAATTTTCTCCATAGTACAAAGAAAATTCCTTAAAATTTTCAAAGGAATCCGCACGAACGTTCTCACGTTAAAAACAAAATCTCCCTGTTAAATTTGGCAATAACCGATGTGGCTATTGAGGAGGACAAGGCGCATAAGTGCATTTTTTAAAAAAATTTAAATATTAATAATTTCAAGTAAAACCTGTCTTAATGCATATTCTGTGAAATATTCTCTCCCAAATTCCAATTTTTAAGAAGTAAAAAGTCAGTTAGAACTTTTCTTCCGCTTTTCATCCATGTAATTTTGAAACTTCAAGCACTTGCTTCTCGAAATATAAAAAACTGCACCTACGTCCCTTGCCTTCCAAGTCCCTCAATTTAGGGTTCTAGACGAGGAGACAAGGCTGACCTGACCCATGTAGCACTCTCCAGTGACAGGTCTGAAGCCCTCCACAGAAGTTCTCAGAGATTTACACCATGAGATTTTCACTGCGATTTTCGCTCATTCTTCCCCTCAGCAAAAAATCAAAAATGCATCACTTTATCAACCCCTAAAGTACCATCCCACTGGTCTCCTTCGTCCCCTTATTTTCCTTTTCCTCCACTCCGATGGAGACAACCATTTTTATGGTTTTCACTTGCACGTGCGTCATTTCGTCGCTCCTCGGACGCACAGTGAATCGAGTCAATAGGAGAGGTCGAGCAAAATTTGGAAACTTTAAACGCTTATAACTCCGTATACATGAAACTTTGAGGTTCTGAAAGTGGTTCCAGTCGTTTCCTCGTGAAATTTGCTTCTGGAAGCACCCCTCAGAATTTGAAATAAGACGGAATAAACATCAAAATTGACAGTTTTAGTCAAAAATTTCGTGTCCGTCCATTCTAATTGACAGTGCTTCACATATACATTCCATGCTTTCTGGGGCTCATCCGGGAATCGAGGTACGCCCTACCGCCAAAGGAACGACGATTTACGCCTTTTAAAGCCATTACCTTTCCCACTCAATGAGAAAATTTTGAAATTGGAGAGTATCGTGAATTTAGGCACACCATCAACATCATTGCCAGGTGGGAAACAACGTATTTCCGTCTCCGACGTTGCAGATTTACTGTCATACTTCGTTTTTTCTTTGGAAAACTAGTCAACGTAATTTCTAAAATATTAACGTAATTTTTTTTTTCTTTCTTCCTTGATTCTTCCTCAATGAAACAGGAATATACTGTGCACAGTTCAATCTGTGAAGTTGGGCTCCTTCTCTTTGAAAAGATAAAATAAGACCGGAGATTCTGATACACCGCAAAAAAAGGAGATACGCGGTTTCGCACTTTAGTCGATGATAAGTTGAATACCACTACATCCATCGTTTCTGGAGTGCTCAGTCGTTGTTTAAGCGGGGCGCTCACAATAATTCTAGCTGGAGCGCAATTCAGCTATGCATTCACGACTGCAAAAATGTCGAAGGAAATCGACATGTCCAGCGTGCATGGAGGCTATTTCCAATTTAATGTGTTTAATCTTCCGTCACATTCTTACGGCGCAATGATACAACTATTTAAACTCTCCGGAATGCGTAAGGTATCACGCCGAATTTGAAGGCGTTTTCAAAAACAGCCAAGTTCCGATACCCGGATTATTGTTTTGCATAGTTCATATTATTTTGTTATATTCTGTACCACTTGTTTATTCTTAATCCTCGTATAAGAACCACCCATTAGCTAAATACAATTCTAGCTGAAGCGCACATAAGCTATGCATTGATGACTGCAAAAATGTGAACGATGTCCAGCGTGCATGGAGGCTATTTCCAATTTAATGTGTTTAATCTTCCGTCACATTCTTACGGCGCAATGATACAACTATTTAAACTCTCCGGAATGCGTAAGGTATCACGCCGAATTTGAAGGCGTTTTCAAAAACAGCCAAGTTCCGATACCCGGATTATTGTTTTGCATAGTTCATATTATTTTGTTATACAGGGTGATCCAAAAGTCCCTTCCACCCCCTCTAACTTTTTACCTAATTGAGATAAAGATTTGAAACTTGGGGGATATTCCTAGGTCAAAGGGAGCTACTTTTCGGCCCCCCTAAAATTTTCAGGGGAGCCCCCCTTGGGGGGGCAACGGCCCCCAACTTTAAATTTTCAAATGGGAAGACCCCCTTTGTGATAGCTCGTTCGAAAGAACATAAAAAAAGAAAACTTTTCGCGCAA